ATTAAAATTTGTTCGCTTAATTTGCGTTTACACGTTCAAAACACTGCTTTCAATTTGCTAACACGTATAAGATTTATTTGTTTTTTCTATATTTTATTAAGCAGAAAATTTTCTGCAAACGAAAACTCATTCACTCACTCACTCACCAAAGCTATGACTAGTTAGCTGTTGAAATAGAACGAGAAATTACCTATCGTCTTGAAAGAAAAATTGGTGATAGGCAATTTGCAAAGTGTGGGTGTATTGGTAAAAAAGGGTGAGTGTATGAAAATTAAAACAAATTTGTAATTTTTTTTATTGAAATGCATAAAATGTTTTTTTTTCACACACATATGATATGAATTGAATCAATCTCAAAGGTCCCTACGTTTTTTACAAACTCTTTTTAAACAATACCTTAATTCTTTTATTTAAAGGCCCGAATTCCCTTTGTTTAACCTTAAATGTTGGTGTGAATTGATAACCAATACTGCAAACAATATTAGTTTTAATTTTTACTGCCAATTTGCGTAGCTAAAGACCCCGTAAATTCACGAAATCGTGTATTAATGATGAACAAAATTTTTGTAGTTTGGAAACTGACTTGGTAGGCTGTTTGGTACCTAAAAATATTTTCAAGTGGCAACACTGAATATCATTACATTTTAAATGCGTCACGGCTTTTACTGAAACGCAATCAGTTTATTCGTTTGCTTCGAAGTGCGGAAATGTCCGGATTTTTATTTTTTCGTTAGTGATACATACATTTAAGCAACGTAGATTTAAGAATCAAATTCAAGCAAATATAAGTTCGGAAGCATTGTGGAAGAATACAAGTGAGATATCTTAGGGTTGACAGATAGTTGACAGGGTGTTCAATATGGCGATGACAGTGTGAATATGGCAGCCAATATGGCATACAACACCGAATGGCCCGAAGTTGCAATCCTACGACCCGAATGAAACGCTTCGTGAAAATCCAGGGTTGCGAAGTGGTATTTTGTTGGAAAATATAAAAGCCAAGATTTTGTGCAGCGCCGAATTTTAACAAAAGAGGGTTTGGTATGCTCAAGATGAACAGAACAGGGTTGCTGTGCTGTTTCGTTTTAAGCTTATTTTAATCTTAACGTATCTAATTAAATATTAAAAGGAGACAAACATTAAAGCAAAAATTTAAAATATATGTACATATCTGAAAATTTTAAATAAAATATATATTTTCACGAGAGACAAAGTAAATAAAATGGGTTAACTTTAGGGGAAATATACTTATCAGATTGGGTCAGATAGCGCTTTTACGTTATAAATAAAAATAATTCCTACTTAAACTTTATATAATTCTGGTGACGTATTTCTAAGCTGACCCTGAGATCTGTGAAATAATACATATTTATGTGCATATATTGTGTTCATTATGCTCCAAATCGCTAAATAATTCTTGCAGCAATCAGCACAATTGCAAATTTTCGGAAAGTAGAAATAAACTAAATTTAATTTATTCAATTATTAATAAAAGAAATTGGAGACAAACGTACAATTGGGACGATGTTTTCCGCATCCGCAAACGAATGTTTGTTTGATGAATTAGGTTATTGGCCTGGCGTCTAATGAAGCATTATCGTCATGATTAATGTTCAACCTCCTTTTTTTATTAACTAAATCGGTTTCTTAAACAAATTTCTATTCAAATATTTTTCTTTTTCGTTTTTCAATTTACTCCACCGCATGGCCGAGAAGCCATTTTGAGACAGAAAATAAGTATATAAAATATTTCAAAAATAAGCGATTGCTTTTTTTTTAAATTTCAGACCTTTTATTTAGATTTGATTGATGGTGAATAAGCCAAAAATTCTCGGAGTAACCTTCGATAGTCTGCTCTCGGCGCACACAACCGCAATTCTCAATAAAGTACAGAACCGCAACATGGTCCTCAAGTCGCTATCAGGCAGCACCTGGAGCAAAGACAGAGAAACGTTGCTGGCAATATAAAAGGCAATT